GCGGTGGGGAAGAGACAGAAATCTTTAATAAATCAAAAAAATAAAAGAAAAAGAAAAGGGAAGGTAATGTGGGATTTCCATTTGTATGCTGTGAATAAAGAAGCTGCTTTGGGCTATTGTAGCACAGAATGGGCCAATGCAGGAGTTCCAAGCAGATAGAGGAGGAGAGAGTAGGTAGATTCAGAGAAGCCATGTAGCCTCCACAGGAGACAAATGCTAGACAGAACCTTCAGTAGGCCACAACCACGTGATGATAAACAGATTAATAGAAATTGACTAATTTAAGACATAAGAGCTACCTAGGAATACACTATAGTCATTGGCCAAGCAGTGTTGCAATTGATACAGTTTCAGTGTGATTATTTCAGCTCTGGGCAGCTGGGAACGAATGAACAACTTCCTTCAACAATCAATGATCCTTGAAACCTATGTAATGTTATTTATTATATTTATTATGTAAAGATATGTAACCTTTTCCTTTAAACTCTTAATGGTCATGGTAGCACTATACCATAAAATATGAGATCTTACTATAATAAATTCTAAATACTGTTTTTTAATCTTTTAAGTAACTTGTAAAGTGTATAATCTTCTTTCCTACTGTTCATCATGTCTAGCTGTGAAAATTAGAAATATTAGATACAGTAAGACTTGTTAAACATATGTTTCACAGTTATTATACATAACTAATTAAAGCATATAGCAATATGTTGATAGTTGAATATCAGGTAGCATTCTATCACTACACCATACAGAACAGTTGCAGCCTGTGGTTAAGGTATTATAGATAATTTTCAATGTTACAAACATGAATATCTGAAATAAAACTTATAATAACATCACCATTGCAACCTGTCATTTGACAGGGGAAAGTAAACCATGAAATTTATAGAAAGATGGGGATGGACATTATTAGGCTTGTTATTTTTAGGATAGTTACTCTAAAGCCTGCTGGACACTGAGAAATCTAGGTGCAAACCAAGATATGTTACTAAAGAGATTTTTGTCTAGACAAGAAAAGAGAGAAATTACCTTGCTTCAACAGACAATGTCAATCAGAATTTAATATTTGTTATTCCTAAATTGTGTGTCAATCAATGTTAGAGATCTGAATATCTAAAAATATACATATTTTAATATTATATCATAATTGCACAGAAAATGGCCTAAGACGTAATGAGGACTGAAAATATCAATAAATCAATGGAGCATAGGCCAATAACCTACATGAGTATAGATGCAGAAATACTTAAAATACTACAATCAAATTAACAACACATTAAAGGTATTATTCACCATTGATAAGTGATACTAATTCTATTATGTAAAGATGATTTAACATGTTAATAAAAACAAAATGTTGTATTAACTATTGTTTTCTAAAAAAACAATAGAAATGATAGAGTTTTTTAGACTGGTTTACAGGATACAAGCAGGTTAGTTCAACACTGACTGTTTTACATTGGAGAGACAGAGAATCCAGTTGTTCAATTCATGAGGCTGTATGTCACAGTAGGCATAATATGGTGGTAGAAGCCTTGCGGATTCTTGCAGAGATGTATACCTTGAAAGTGAGAACAAAGTGGCAAAAAGCAACATTTCCATTATTTATGTCTTTTATTAGGGTGGCAACTATAAGGTGCCACAACACTTAGGGTGGGTCTTTCTGATCATCAAGAAAAGCCCCCATGAAAGTGTCTAGTACCTTATATTTAGTTGATTCCAGATATAGTAATTTTGACAACCAAGATTAGCCATCAAAATGATGCACACCATGAACAGAATAAAAAAATCTACAGAATCATTTCAATATAGGTAGAAAGGACTGCAGTGGGATAATGCTTTTGAACACTGTAAAGATTTGTCACCCATCCCAGGTGTTCAAGGAGATGTCCCCAACTTGTTCCTAGAGCAGCTGAGGAGAGGGCACCTGAAATGGCCCTATCCTATAGCCACACTGATGAATATCGTGCATATCACCATAGAACCTTCATCTGGCGATGGATGGAGATAGAGACCCACATTGGAGCACTGGCCTGAGCTGCCAAGGTCCAAATGAGGAGCAGAAGGAGAGAGAACATGAGCAAGGAAGTCAGGAAGGCTAGGGGTGTGCCCACCCACTGTGAAGGTGGGGCTGATCTAATGGGAACTCACCAAGGCCAGCTGGACTGGGACTGATGGAGCATGTGATCAAACCGGACTCTCTGAACATGGCTGACAAGGAGGGCTGACTGAGAAGCCAAGGACAATGGCACTAGGTTTTGATTCTACTGCATGTACTGGCAGACTAGGTTTGTGGGAACCTAGTCTGTTTGGATGCACACCTTCCTAGACCTGGATGGAGGGGTAAGGACCTTGGACTTCCCACAGGGCAGGGAATCCTGACAGCTCTTTGGA